CTTTCATAATATATACTTAAAATTGTCTTATTTAATTTCCTGAGAAATTAATGCGTGACGTTGGGGAAAAGCCCCCGCAATAGACCTTTTCAGGCTCCGCCCGAAAATCGATATGTATATTTGAGTTGAAAGCAGTCAGAAACTACAGCACAACCGCGTAACATCCACAAACTGTAAACGGGCAGTTACTAGTATATACAACGTAATTATTATTAATTTTCGTCGTTATTTACTTCGACACAGGTACTGGCTAATATCCCAGACACACTGGGTGACCCACTGATAAACTGAATTCCCTGCAGTTCCGTTAAGCGGCAGCACAAGATGGGCGAAGCACGCGCGTCTAGGCTTATTACTTATTACCTGAGCTGTTGGTATCGTAAATAATTACGTAGTGTTAGCATCAATTCTTTTTTACATTAGTACAAGGCCCTCTGTGCCTTAGTGCAATTCAACAAACACCAGTGACAACCCCAACTGTGTGCCGTATCATCAACCCATATTTTTATCACGAAATTTCACGAGTTGGGTTATCTGCTGCTTGTCTCTCTCCCTCACCCCGACTGCCTAGTCCCTGTTTCATTTTCTACCCCCTTCCCGCATTTGCAGCTGACGCCATTAGGCCGGGTTTTGAGCGCCTTTCCCCTGGAGCCGCGACTAGCCCGAACCCTCGTCTCGGCGGCTAATTTGGGCTGTCTGGTGGAAGCCATTACCGCAGTCAGTATGCTCTACGTCTCTCCTGTCTTCTATGTGCCTCAGGAACGCCGCGAAGACTACTCCGAGGTGAGCTGCTTGATGTGTATGTTTGTCGCCGTTTGTTTTTCCCCTGCCCTCGCGAACCGAACACGCCGAAGGTATGCCTTTTGCGAAGGACTGCAGCTTACTACTGCGGGGTATTTTGTGGCTGAATTTTCCATGCAGACGTGTGCACTGTGTCAACACGTAATACGTAATATTGTGTTTCCACGTGATGATGTTTGTGCAGGTAACGATGATCGTGCTAAGTACGTGCCATTCCGGCATGTAGCTACTCATGACTGATTTGGTATGTTATTGTATTTCTTTTTTGAAATGACAGTTACGTAACAAACCAAACGATAGTTGACACCATTCATGTACTTTTAGACACCGAAAGGGGAACGATGGTTCTTCTTTTGTTCGCACGTTTAAGAAGCTGTAGCGCCTTCCCGTCTAGTGGATTTCCCTATTAAATGTTACATTATTAAACGGAAGTGACCAGAAGAAAAAGGCTTGCATAGAGATGCAACCTTTTAATCGACCATCAGTCTTAGAGGTATGCGTTGAGCGTGTGGCAGTTGTCTCAATGTCCCGCCAGGTTTGGCCTAGTGGCTGCTGTAGTGTCTCCTTTTTCCCCTTCCGTCCGAGCGGCCCTCACAGGCTTGTTAACTAGCAGACACAACAACAACAGCACAGTCAAGA